CATATCTTCCTGAAATCCACCTCGTTCTGACTCAAATCAGCCTCGAATGTGTTTCAAATCAGCCTCGAATCTGCAGCTAGTCCTCTAATGATGGGGGGGGGGGGGGGGGGGGTGTTTACTTCCACTGATCCCTGGAAACACAGAAACAAACAAAAACAATAAATACGAGTTCAAACACTCCCGTTGCGTTTTGATTTAAATTCGCAGCCATTTTGTGTCTTTAAAAAAAACAATTGTCTCTTTTAGTCATTTTGGATTTCTTTCCATTGTTCCGTCTCTTTCTGTTGTGTTCTTGTTACGGTTTGATGTTCTTTTGATATTCATTTGATGTTCATTTGATATTCTTTTGATATTCTTTTGATATTCTTTTGGACATTTTTGGAATATTTGTTGTGTTTTTAAATCTTTTTCTGCCTTTTTGTGTGTTTTTTGACACTTTTTTGTCTTTCAGTCATTTTGTGTAATTTTTTCTATTTCATTTAAACATGTTTGTGTCTTTGTTTAGTCATTTTGGGTCTATTGTGTTTTTATTGGATTTGTTTACATTGTTGTGTTTTTCTAGTATTTGGACATTTCTGTTGTATTTTTTGAGTCTTTTTGTCTTTTTTTGTCTTTTTTCTTTTACTTTTTCGTCTCTTTCAGTAAAAGCGTGTTTTATTTATTATTATTTTCACTTTTCTGTCTTTATTTAGTCATTTTGGGTTTATTGTGTTTTTCTTTTCATTTATTTCCATTGTTCCGTCTCTTTCTGTTCTTGTTTGGTTTGATGTTCATTTGGACATTTTTGGAATATTTGTGGGTTTTTTCAATTTAATTTTCAAATCGTTTCTTTATTTCGTGATCTTTGGTCTCTTGTGTTATTTATATTATATATATTTATATTTCTTTACATTGTCTTGTAGACTTTCTGTGTGTGTTTGAGTCTCTCTGTTCTCATGTGGACCTCTAACTGTGTCCTTTCCTTGTCTCAGCATCTCTGTATTCTTTCAGATTCTTCTTCACCTCCTGATCAGTGGATCATTATTTACCCTCTTCCTCTTCCTCTTCCTCTCGACTCTCACCGTACCTGAAAATAATCTCCTCATGATTGTGTGTTTCCATGGTAACCCAGCTAACGTCTGTTTCCAGGTTCTTTATCCGTTTCCTGTCTACATATATAATTACCGCCTGGTGTGAAGCTGCGGAGGCGCGCAGTGCGTCAGAGAGGCGTCTCAACGAAGCTGCACTCGGTGTCAACGAGCAGGAAACCCGACATGGAGGCAAATGTTCTGATTCATTAACAAAGGATTCAGTTTCAGCATTTTTACCCATGATGTATTTTTATATTCTATATTTTTGTACTTTCCCAAAATCTGACAAATATTAGCAAAATAAACGTCAAATTGATTTTCGATGCAATCTAATGGTAAATCTTATGGTTTGAGTATTTCTTTGAGTTTTTGAGTCTCCTTCGTAATTTGGGGTATTCCTTGTTTCAGCAGAACATTGATTTTAATTGTCATTCTGTGGTTTCTTTGCACTTTTTTTGTCTCTTTTAGTCATTTTGGGTCTTTTGTGTTTCTATAGGAATGGTTTGGACATTATTCTCGTAGTAGTTTCTGACACATATTTGCAACATAAATGTCAAATTGATGTTAAATGCACTCAACGTTACACATTGCCTCTTTTTGTTGCATTTCTTTATGGTTTGATATTCATTTGGAAATTTTTTGAGTCCTTTCTATTTTGACTCTGTTTAGTGATGTTGTGACATTCCTTGTTTCAGCATCTCAGTTTTTTTTTCATAAGATTTCTTTTAATTGTCATTCTGTGGGATTTTTCTGTTTTTGTGTGTTTTTGGTCATTTTGTGTGTTTTATTTATTATTTTGTTAAATTTCTGTCTTTATTTTGGGTTTCTTGTGTGTTTTTCATACGATTTCCACTATTGTCTGTTTGTGTCTGATATCTCCTAAAATCACCGAAAATGTGCATAACGCCTCATTAGCACATTATTAGTGTGTGTGTGTGTGTGTGTGTGTGTGTGTGTGTGTGTGTGTGTGTGTGTGTGTGTGTGTGTGTGTGTGTGTGTGTGTGTGTGTGTGCGTGTCCTCAGATCTCCTCTTACTTCCTGTTGTTGTTGTTGTTGTTTGGGGGATCAGCTGTCTGGGGAAAGCCTGCTTTTGGGGGGGGGTTTCGCGGACCTGAGACCCCCTTACTGACCCCCCATCTGCACGTCATGGAACATTTGCAGAGAGGGACCCCCCCTCACACACACACACACACACACACACACACACACACACACACACACACACACACACACACACACACACACACACACACACACACACACACACACACTCTCTCTTAAAGGCGTGCAGAAACATCTCCATCTGCAGGTCACAGCTAATCTCTATAATAATAATATCGATGTAGAAACGATCCAGAGGAGAGGGCTAGTCTTAGTGCAACATGCAGATTATAGAATATCATTGTTATTCGCCTCATGCATGACGGGATTGTGTTTCCGGGCTCCTCGCGGTGCACAACAGGCTGTTTAAAGTCAGCTCTGATGTCACATAAGCACGGGGTGCAGTTAGACATGTGAACAGCAGGGGGCGCTGCAGGGGGCAATAACAGGGGGGCAAGCCAACCTGATAAAATATACAAAAAACTTCATTTATTTCAAGGATATTCTGTTTTCCACATGCAAATATGAGACAGTAACAAAAACACATACATGTTTGTGCTTCAATATTTAATCTACTTTATTTTTACTTTCATTCACTTATAAAACCTCAGAAAACAAAGTAGGATCAACCGCTGTACAATTCAATCCTTGGAAACTAGAGAATAAAAAAATGTGAATGTCAGAAAGTTAACAAACTAGAGAGGTGGGTCCTTTATTAGAACTGTTAATATTATAGATCAGAAATCCTTTATTTGTCCCGCTGAGTCTGCGCACGTCATTAATAACACAATAAGTAAAAAACAAGAACAGCAGATATGTACAGCATGGTAATAAAGGGTTTATCACACTTTATATTGACAGACAGTGTTATTGCAGGACCTTATACAGTGCAGTGAAAAATAAGCTGGAGTAAAAGCAGAAGTTTTAGCATCAAAATAGTATTCATGATGTGAATCTGCAATTTAAATAATATCATGAAGTTTGAAGCACAATACTTCAAAATGTAGTAAAGTAGAATAAAAAGAGAAATGTTGACTGTGTGACTGAAACTTGGGTGCGCGTCCCGATGCTAACATTAGCCGCGCGTTACGTCCCAGGGGAAGAGGAATGCAACACACACCAGTATGTCATTGGTAATAATTACAAGTGGTTTTATTACAGAACAAGGTGAAACAAAAGGGAAGGCGTGCAGCCTGAACAAACAAAAGGGCCAAAAGGGCACAGGTTGATAACCCAACAAAAGAAGGACTCTAAAAAAGGAGTCTAATGGCATATAGGGAAAATAAATAATATAAAGAACGAAACAAAACCTCGCTTTAAAAGTGGTACAACTAACCAACGAATCTATACAAAACACAGCTAAACTAAAGGCGACAATCACAGAATCAAAAACTACCACTAACTAATCACACACGTTAACCACAGTCCAACCGAATTCACTCAGGAGCAAGTAGCGCGAGGCGTCTGTTCACTCAACAGAGCCTCCAGAGAGGTGATAGTCCGCGGCCTTTGTACTCCTCGTCAATCCAATCACCATCTTCAGAGGCGGACCAGAGGATGGGCAGCCAATGACGTCAGGGCTACTGCGCAGTTTATTTACATATTACACGCACAGCTGAAAACACTCACAGGCAGATTCATGAGCAGACAGAAACAGCAACCGTAACACCCCGCCTTGTAAGTATTAATAGCATTATGCTGCGTTCACACCGGACGCGATGCGATGTTTGGGGGCGGCGCGATTACATGTAAAGTCAATGCAGAGACAGACGCGAATTCGCTCCGACGGCGCGCATGAAGGTGGCCGCGACAAACGCTCAAGTTCAATTTTGTTCAACTCGAGCGTGAAATTTGTGTGACGCAATCTCGCGGTAGCCAATCAGCGGTGAGGATCTCAGCCTGCCGTCACTGACGTTCAACCACAAAACCAAAACATCAGCCGTTAGCTGTTAGCACTCAGAGCTCACAGCTCCTCATATCTGTTCAGAAACTAGACAGAAGTTAAACAAGTACAAACCACAGACTGCCTGTGTCATGGAGAATACAGTCGCTGCTTTATTTATGTCTGGAGGCCGTTGTTGTGAGTGTGGACGGTCGGAGCATATACTGCGTTAGCTTAGCATGATCGATCCGGTCTCCATTACATGTCACTTGTTAGACGCTTTTATCCAAAGCGACTTACATATTCAGTACTGAGGACAATCCCCACAGGAGCACTTTGGGGTGAAGTGTCTCAGGGACACAACGACATGCTGACTGCAGTGGGGTTTGAACCTGTGCTCCCCTGATTCGAAGTCTAGCACACTATCTACTGAGCCACAGCCTCCCAATAATGGTCCTTCCCACTCTGCCGTCTGTCTGCAGACTTGTCAAAGCATTAATTCATGGTTTTTACTAACCGGTATCAGTATGTTGTTACTTCGGCATCATTTAGAAACGTGTATTACAATTAAATCACGGTCAAATATGTTCATTTTGTTGTAGGCCTAGTTGTAGCCCCCGAGCCAGCGAGTCTTGTTTGAATGATGCGAGTAAACACAGCTGACAGCCGCGGTGAAACGCGTTTAGAGCAGGGGTGCCCACACTTTTTCAGCTTGGGAGCTACTTTTAAAATGACCACGCCCAAATGATCTACCTACTGTACAGGCCGCCCCTGCCCAATCTGTGTTGCGTGGGGGGGGATACGCACACAAACACTTGCTAATGCTAACACACACACACACACACACACACACACACACACACACACACACACACACACACACACACACACACACACACGGCAACGCTCACCACCAGCACACTCACTATGGCAGATGCAAGTGTAACCAATGTATAACTTCACTTGTTTATATTTCAGTAAAATCATTGTCCATACTTTATTTGTAAAACTTGTCACTGTCACTTTATTTTTTAGATGCTTTTATTTTGAAAAGTACGTTTTATTTTGGTACTCTTGGCACCGGCACATTTCTGCAGACTCGCGCTACTTTCCTCAGTTAGCTTCAGGCCCCACTGAGGAGAAGTAAGTGGAACGAGTGGTGTCATACATGTTGTATTTTATATGTTAATAGATTGTTTAATGTCACACTTCACACAAGCCAAACCTATTTGCAGTTAATATCTATATGTTGCCGTGTGTGACTAGTTTATATAATGTGCAGCGCTTCAAACAGTGTTTGGGAGCTTTCTAAAGTCTAGCTATATGCTAACCTAACATGTGCGTGTTTTCTTCCACTGAAGGTGTGAAGTTAGAAAGCTGATGAAGCCATTTCCTGCTTTAATTATTATATTCTGTTTTGCACAGGTATGTGGATATTCTTTTTGTATTTTGTAACTGTAAATTGTATTGTTTGTTATGTAAGTGTAAATTAATGGTTATATTTGTGTATATTGGTTTACAAGGAAAAACTGGTTTGCCACCATGGATAGATGTATATCTGTTAATTGTATTATTTAGAACTCTGTATACTTTCCTGAGTTAGCTTCAGGCCCCACTGAGGAGAAGTGTGAAGTTAGAAAGCTCATGAAGCCATTTCCTGCTTTAATTATTATATTCTGTTTTGCACAGAGAATAAATCCTGGTTGGCAAGAAGGAAGTCGTTCTCATTTACACAACATAACACAACGCAGAGATCACATGTGGCGTCAAACCAGACCGGTTACACCTGTATCAGCGAGAGCAGCAGCGCATTTACAACTGGGAGATATAACCACTATTTTCAATTTGTGGGGATAAAGGACGCAACAAATATTATGGTCAAATGTAAACTGTGTGCAGGACAGAAAGCATTGTCCACATCGAATAACAGCAATGCCAATCTCCTGAAGCGCCTAACTAATGTACATGAGGCTATAAAACTAGTCGCCAAAGACCCCACCGTCTCAACCAGCGGCAGTGACCCAGATGGAGCAACACCGTCTCAACCAGCGGCAGTGACCCAGATGGAGCAACACCGTCTCAACCAGCGGCAGTGACCCAGATGGAGCAACACCGTCTCAACCAGCGGCAGTGACCCAGATGGAGCAACACCGTCTCAACCAGCGGCAGTGACCCAGATGGAGCAACACCGTTCTCAACCAGCGGCAGTGACCCAGATGGAGCAACACCGTCTCAACCAGCGGCAGTGACCCAGATGGAGCAACACCGTCTCAACCAGCGGCAGTGACCCAGATGGAGCAACACCGTCTCAACCAGCGGCAGTGACCCAGATGGAGCAACACCGTCTCAACCAGCGGCAGTGACCCAGATGGAGCAACACCGTCTCAACCAGCGGCAGTGACCCAGATGGAGCAACACCATCTCAACAGCCAACAAACGATCTTTTTCAATCGCACTTTTGTGTTTTATTGTTCCACTATTTCATAATGATAATTGCTGCAGTGATGGGGAGTTGTGTGTTCTCTTCCTGTGCCACAGAACAACACAAACACTTGTATTTGTATTGTTATTATTTTTAAAGTAAAGTAACGTTTTACTAGTTACTTTCACAATTTAGTAACTAATAAAGTAACTAGTTACTTTTTTGAGAGCAGTAACTATTACTAGTTACTTTTTAAAGTAACTTGCCCAACACTGATCAACATACATATATACATATGTGTGCATCTGGACCCGGTGACGACATTACCTATTGACGCAGCAACCACTGTAAGTTATATTCTTGTTTAATTAGACTTCTCTGTTTCATTTATTCGACTCTGTATAAATTGTTATTGTAGCGTAAACGGCTAAATCGCGTTTGAGAGATTTTAAATCTCAGATCTGCTCAGGCGAAACCTGCTTTACAGGTCTCAGCACTCAAGCCTGCATTAATATAGGCACGGCCAGTCTATTGTCGCCCATCAGCTGTAGATAGTTAACTAATTAGAGGGCCGTGGCCCTACAGCTGTGAGAACTGAGCAATCAGGCGTCCATTTCGGGTAGCTCTTTCCTGGAGCGTCAGACAGCCGAAGACTGACAAAGACATTGGAGTCCTGCGGGAGTCACGAGAAAGGCAAAGAGGAGGCAAATCCAACTCTGATTGAGCTGGTGTCTTATTTCTCTTTTCTTTAGTTTTCTAGCCCCTCATGCTATAATCATGTGTATTTTCTCCATTCCTGTTCATGTGTCTTCTCGCAATTATCACTGGCCCCGTGTATCTCCTAATCGATATAACCGGCCTGCTCTCGTCTATCCCACGTGCTCCACTGAGATCCAACATCTAGTTTCAGGCGGCCTGTGGAACTGCCAGTCAGCTGTTCCTAAGGCTGACTTCATCTCTGGCTACGCCTCCCTGCAGTCTCTGGATTTCCTTGCTCTCACTGAGACCTGGATTACTCCATCCAACACATCCACCCCAGCAGCTCTCTCCACAGCATATTCCTTCTCCCATACACCCAGACCCACTGGCAGAGGAGGTGGCACTGGTCTCCTGCTCTCTCCCAAATGGAGCTTTTCCCTCTTCAAGCTACCTAACTTCACTCCTTCCAACTTTGAATTCCATGCCGTCACAGTAACCCATCCTATACAGTTAACCATTGTTGTTCTCTACCGTCCACCAGGCGCCTTGGGGGACTTCTTGGAGGAATTAGATAATCTCCTCTCACACATCCCTGAAACTGGCCCTCCCGCTGTACTTCTCGGAGACTTCAACCTCCAGACGGGGAAGATAGACGAACTAACATCTCTGTTAACCGCCTTTGCTTTCTCACTGTCTCCGTCCCCACCGACTCATAAAGCTGGCAATGTCCTTGATCTCATATTCTCAAGGAACTGCGCTACTTCTAACCTCTCTGTAAACCCGCTCCACACATCCGATCACTTCTTCATTTCATTCTCTCTATCCCTTTCCAAACATAACAAACTAATCTCTTCTCATCCTGCACTTGTCCGCCGTAACCTTCGCTCCCTCTCCCCCTCTACCTTTGCCTCGTCGGTGCTCTCAGCCCTCCCTTCCTCTGATTCGTTCCATCTCCTGCCTCCAAACTCTGCTGCAGAAACTCTTCTCTCTACTCTCTCATCCACTCTGGACTCGCTCTGTCCTCTCACATCTCGGCAGGCTCGTCAGTCCCCTCCTGCTCCCTGGCTAAATGATGCACTGCGTGCTAATAGAACCGTCCTTAGGGCAGCAGAGCGGAAATGGTGGAAATCCAAACACCGTGACGACCTCCTAACCTATCAGGCTCTCCTCTCCTCTTTCTCTGCTTCGATCTCTCAGGCAAAAAGCACTTTCTTTCAAGATAAGATCCAATCTTCCTATTCCAATCCTAAAAAACTATTTTCCATCTTCTCCTCCCTCTTGGACCCCCCCAAAGCCCCTCCCCCCTCCTCACTTCTGTCAAGCGACTTTGTTACCCACTTTGAAAAAAAGGTTGATGATATTCGCTCTTCTTTTTCTGACTCACCTTTACTCACCGCTGGGTCACCAGACCCTCCTTCCACCAACACACTGACCTCCTTTTCCCCTCTTTCTCCAAGTGAGGTTCTTACCCTCATTACCTCTGCCCGCCCTACCACCTGTCCTCTGGACCCTATCCCTTCAAACCTCCTTCAGATTATCGCTCCTGATATTCTACCGTTTCTACCCATTTCATCAACACTTCTCTAACTTCTGGTCACTTTCCAAACAGTCTCAAGGAGGCAAGAGTAAACCCTCTCCTAAAGAAACCCACTCTCAACCCGTCTGATGTTATAAACTACAGGCCTGTCTCTCTCCTCCCGTTCCTGTCTAAATCACTTGAACGCGCTGTCTTTAAACAACTCTCCTGTTATCTCAATCAGAACAACCTTCTGGATCCGCACCAGTCTGGTTTCAAGGCAGGTCACTCCACAGAAACTGCTCTCATTGCTGTCACTGAGGAACTGCACACTGCCAAAACTGCATCCCTCTCCTCTGTCATCATCCTGTTGGACCTGTCTGCTGCATTCGACACGGTGAATCATCAGATCCTCCTTCGCACTCTCCAAAAACTTGGAGTTTCAGGCTCTGCACTTTCCCTCCTCACCTCATACCTGAAAGACCGTACCTACAGGGTGACTTGGAGAGGGTCTGAGTCCGACCCTTGTCAATTAACTACGGGGGTCCCTCAGGGCTCTGTTCTTGGTCCCCTCCTCTTCTCCCTGTACACAAACTCGCTCGGATCAGTCATTAGCCCGCATGGTTTTTCTTACCACTGCTACGCTGACGACACCCAATTAATTCTGTCCTTTCCCCGCTCAGAGACCCAGGTCGTCGCACGCATCTCTGCTTGTCTAGCGGACATCTCTCAGTGGATGTCTGCTCACCACCTCAAGCTCAACCTTGACAAGACTGAGATGCTCTTCCTCCCGGGAAAAGATTGTCCCACTCTTGACCTAACAATCAACATCGGCACCTCAGTTGTTTCCCCGACTCAGACTGCAAGGAATCTGGGTGTGACCCTAGATAACAACCTGTCCTTCACTGCAAATATCGCTGCTACAACCCGTTGCTGCAGATACACGCTTTACAACATCAGGAAGATACGTCCCCAGCTGACTCAGAAAGCGACTCAGGTTCTGGTCCAGGCTCTCGTCATCTCACGCCTAGACTACTGCAACTCCCTCCTGGCTGGTCTACCTGCATGTGCCATCCGACCTCTGCAGCTCATCCAGAATGCAGCGGCTCATCTGGTCTTCAACCTTCCTAAATTCTCCCAAACCACTCCGCTCCTCCGCTCCCTTCACTGGCTTCACTGGCTTCCGGTAACTGCTAGAATCCACTTCAAGACACTGGTACTTGCTTACCATGCTGCGAATGGATCTGGCCCTTCCTACATCCAGGACATGGTTAAACCGTACACCCCAGCGCGTGCACTACGCTCTGCATCAGCCAAACGACTCGTTGCGCCCTCGCTGCGAGGGGGACCCAAATTCCCATCGGCGAAAACACGTGGGTTTGCTGTCCTGGCTCCAAGATGGTGGAATGAGCTCCCCATTGACATCAGGACAGCAGATAGCTTGCACATCTTCCGGCGCAAACTGAAAACTCATCTCTTTCGACTCCACTTCGAGCGTTAGAACTATTAACGAAGCACTTTTATACTAATAAAGGACTGGCTTACCTAAAGCCAGTTGAGTAGCACTTGAAATGTTTGGCTCTATGAAACCTGATGTACTTATATGATTCTGTTTTCTTCAAGGTTGTGTCTTCCTGGTCGAATGTACTTATTGTAAGTCGCTTTGGATAAAAGCGTCAGCTAAATGCAATGTAATGTAATGCATTCAATACACATACATGTGACCACACATACACATCTATACATTCAATCGGTGTAGAAACAGTCAAACGAGGGATGGTCGTCTTTGGGATATGTAAACTCTCCACTTTTCCATATTTCTTCAAATGTGTTTTCCTGAAGCCTCATTGAGAAGTCCATCCATCCATCTTCTTCCGCTTATCCGTGGTCGGGTCGCGGGGGTAGCAGTTCCAGCAGAGAGCCCCAAACTTTCTTTTCCCTGGCGACATCAACCAGCTCTGACTGGGGGATCCCAAGGCGCTCCCAGGCCAGCGAAGAGATATAATCCCTCCACCTGGTCCTAGGTCTACCCCTTGGTCTCTTCCCAGCTGGACGTGCCTGGAACACCTCCCTAGGGAGGCGCCCAGGTGGCATCCTAACTAGGTGCCCGAACCACCTCAACTGGCTCCTTTCGACGCGAAGGAGGAGCGGCTCAACTCTGAGTCCCTCCCTGATGACCGAACTTCTCACCTTATCCCTAAGGGAGACACCAGCCACCCTGCGGAGAAAACCCATCTCGGCCGCTTGTATCCGCGATCTCGTTCTTTCGGTCATGACCCATCCTTCATGACCATAGGTGAGGGTAGGAACGAAAATGGCCCGGTAGACAGAGAGCTTTGCCTTCTGGCTCAGCTCCCTTTTCGTCACAACGGTGCGGTAAAGCGACTGCAGTACCAGCTCCCGCTGCTCCGATTCTCCGGCCCATCTCACGCTCCATTGTTCCCTCACTCGAGAACAAGACCCCGAGATACTTGAACTCCTTCACTTGGGGTAAGGACTCATTCCCTACTTGAAGTGGACAGTCCATCGGTTTCCTGCTGAGAACCATGGCCTCAGATTTGGAGGTGCTGATCCTCATCCCAGCCGCTTCACACTCGGTTGCGAACCGATCCAGTGAGTGCTGAAGGTCGCAGACCGATGAAGCCATTAGAACCACATCATCTGCAAAAAGCAGTGGTGCAATCCTTAGTCCACCGAACTGCAGACCCCCTCCCCCATGACTACGCCTCGAAATCCGATCCATGTATATTACAAACAGGATTGGTGACAAAGCGCAGCCCTGGCGGAGGCCAACCCTCACCGGAAATGGGTCCGACTTACTGCCGAGGACCCGGACACAGCTCTCGCTTTGGGAGTACAGAGATTGGATGGCCCTGAGTAGAGACCCCCTCACCCCATACTCCCGCAGCACCTCCCACAGTAACTCCCTGGGAACCCGGTCATACGCCTTCTCCAAGTCTACAAAACACATGTAGACCGGATAAGCGTATTCCCAGGCCCCCTCCAGGATCCTTGCGAGAGTAAAAAGCTGATCCGTCGTTCCACGACCAGGACGGAATCCGCATTGTTCCTCCTCAATCTGAGGTTCGACAATCGGCCTGACCCTCCTTTCGAGTACCTTAGAGTAAACTTTCCCGGGGAGGCTGAGTAGTGTGATGCCTCTGTAATTGGCACACACCCTCTGATCCCCCTTTCTAAAAAGGGGGACCACCACCCCGGTCTGCCACTCCTTCTGTACTGTTTCCGACTTCCACGCAACGTTGATGAGACGTGTCAACCATGACAGTCCCTCAACACCCAGAGCCTTCAGCATTTCCGGGCGGATCTCATCCACCCCCGGGGCTTTGCCACTGTGGAGTTGTTTGACGACCTCAGTGACCTCCCCCCGGGAGATTGGTGTTGATCCCCCGTCATACTCCAGCTCTGCCTCTAACATAGAGGGCGGAGTTGTCGGGGTCAGGAGTTCCTCAAAGTGTTCCTTCCAACGCCCTAACACTCCATCAGTTGAGGTCAACAACGTCCCATCCTTACTGTACACAGCTTGGATGGTTCCCTGCTTCCCCCTCCTGAGGTGTCGGACAGTTTTCCAGAACAACTTTGGTGCCGCCCGAAAGTCCTTCTCCATGTCTTCTCCGAACTTCTCCCACACCCGCTGCTTTGCCTCGGCCACGGATGAGGCTGCTGCCCTTCGGGCCTGTCGGTACCTTGCAACTGCCTCGGGAGTCCCCCGGGATAAAAAATCCCTGAAGGCCTCCTTCTTCAGTCGGACGGCTTCCCTGACCACCGGTGTCCACCAGGAGGTTCGAGGGTTACCGCCCCTTGAGGCACCTAGGACCTTGAGACCACAGCTCCCCGCCGCGGCTTCGGCAATAGAGGCTTTGAACACCGACCACTCTGGTTCAATGTCCCCAACCTCCACAGGAATGCCCGAAAAGCTCCGCCGGAGGTGTGAGTTGAAGGCCTCCTGAACTTGGGCCTCCTCCAGACGTTCCCAGTTCACCCGAACTACACGTTTGGGCTTACCAGGTCTATCCAGAGGCTTCCCCCGCCACTCGACCCAACTCACCACCAGATGGTGATCAGTTGACAACTCCGCCCCTCTCTTTACCCGAGTGTCCAAAACATACGGCCTCAGGTCCGATGATACGATAACGAAATCGATCATGGACCTTCTGCCTAGGGTGCTCTGGTACCACGTACACTTATGAGCATCCTTATGTTCGAACATGGTGTTTGTTATGGCCAATCCATGACTAGCACAGAAGTCCAGTAACAAACCACCACTCCGGTTCAGATCAGGGGGGCCGTTCCTCCCAATCACGCCCCTCCAAGTGTCTCCATCATTGCCCACATGTGCGTTAAAGTCTCCCAGCAAGATTAAAGAGTCCCCTTCAGGAGCCCCATACAGGACTCTTTCCAGGGTCTCCAAGAAGGCTGTATACTCTGAACTGCTGTTGGGTGCATAAGCACACACAACAGTCAGAGTTTTCCCCCCCATAACCCGCAGGCGTAGGGAGGCGACCCTCTCGTCCACTGGGGTAAACTCCAACAACGAAGCACCTAACCGGGGACTTGTGAGTATCCCCACACCAGCCCGGCGCCTCACACCTTGAGCAACTCCGGAGAAGAATAGAGTCCAACCCCTATCCAGAAGTAAGGTTCCAGAGCCGACGCTGTGCGTAGAGGTGAGCCCAACCAGATCCAACTGGTAACGCTCCACCTCCCGCACAAGCTCCGGCTCCTTCCCCCCCAGAGAGGTGACGTTCCACGTCCCCAAAGCCAGCTTCTGTCGCCCGGGTCTGGTCCGTCGAGACCCTCCGCTTTCACTGCCACCTTTCTGGCAGCGCACCCGACCCCATCGATGTTTCCCGTAGGTGGTGGGCCCGCGGGACGGAGAAGCGGAGGTGTTGCCCACGTTGCCTTTTCGGGCTGGGCCCGGCCGGGCTCCGTGGCAAGCCCGGCCACCAGACGCTCGCCGACGAGTCCTCCTTCTGGGCCTGGCTCCAGAAGGGGACCCCGGGCTTCCTCCGGGCCGGGTATCCTCACTTCTTAGTTTTTCTTTCATGAGGTCTTTTGAACCAATCTTAGTCTGGCCCCTTGCCTGAGACCAATTTGCCATGGGAGACCCTACCAGGAACACAAGGTTCCAGACAACACAGCCCCCAGGTTCATCAGGGCACACAAACCTCTCTACCACGGTAAGGTGCTGGTTCTTCAGAGAGGCCATTGAGAAGTGATTCTTTAGATTTCATGGATTTTGTCGTACCAGTTGTCGAGAGAAGGGATATCCGCTTTGAGCCATTTTCTAGTTATTGCTTTATTTGCTGCAACAGTAAGAATTCCAAATAGTTGTTTTGTTTTGGAGTGTGTGGGGATTGCATGTTCGAGCCCAAATACACATTCGTCCCAGTTTAAAGGGATTGTTTCCTGTTGTATTATTTCAATTTCGATCTTTTGCCAAAAAGTTACTATTAAAGGGCAAGCCCAAAACAAATGGTATTGATGTGCTGAGAACCACATTTCCCCCTGGATGCTGTGATGACTGAGCAGGGCTGAACAAGTACGCTCAGCATCTTCCAACTGAGCATCCTGTCGGTGCCTGAGCTCGAGATCTTCCATCGAAAGTACAGTCGTTTGTCCAGACTTCGTCAGGGATGGTTTTTGTGTTTCGTTTTCTCATTTGTGTTTTATATAGAAAGTATTTCCCTTTTTAATATCTTGAAGAGCTTGGTGAAGTTTGGAGATTACTTTCATCCCTGTGTCTGATGTGTTGGTGAAAACTATTAATCAAGGGTTTTCAAGGTTTCTGGCTGTCTGACAGGGAACTATTTAAGTACTGTAATGGCGTACCTGTAGAAATCTATAAACATCTCTGTTATTCAATCCATATTGTTTTTTTAGTGTTTGAAAATCAAACATGGTTCCTTTGCTGAGAAATGTGCAATATGAAGTAAGGCCATGTTTGGCCCAACCTTTAAATGTTGTGGCTTGCTCGGGGTGAAATCAAGATCATGTGAGCACCATCTTAATATCTTCATTTCCTTCACTCCTGGTAAGGATCCTTAACCATAATTTTAAGGAGAGGTTAATCCAGCGGTTATCTTTTTCCAGTAAGTTTTTAACATGTCTTTTATCCCCTAACCTTGCCTCGATGGGTACTCCCCCTGATACATCATTCTTTCCATCTAGCTCTGTATGGCTTGCACCAGCAGAACAAGCTTCTTCATTGGGCTGATAGTAGTCCTTCAAGCAGGGGAGCGATACTCCTCCCTTGCTTTTTGCTAGTTGAAGAGTACAGAATCGAATCCTTGGTTTCTTCCCTTGCCAAATGTACTATCAATGACTTTCAATGACCTTTACCTAATTTTCCATGACCAAAAAAATGACTCTTTCTCAGCGGTTCCACTGAAAATTGTTTATTTTAACATGGAACAGGAAAATATGGTCTGCATCTGAAACATGTTGTGTCTATCTAAAACAAATCCAATAGGCCTACTAGCTTCTACGCTAAAGCAACTCAAATCTCTCACCAGCGAAACACCTCGTCAGTTAAATGCCATTCTACGTTTCATTACTACACCATACAGTATTTATTATCATTAGAGTATCACTATTTCGGGGATTAGATAAAATATTAATTATATTTGATGCGACTTTAGTTACATTTCCATGACTTTTTCAAAACTTTGGGAAAAATATTGTTTTCCAAAACTTTTCCAGGGCCTGGAATCAGCTTTTTGAATTTCCATGACTTTTCCAGGTTTTTAATGACCGTAAGAACCCGGCAAGGGACAACAAAGAATGTCCATTCATTTGAGCTCACTTTTAGCTGATCCTTTGAACCGTTTCTTACATTTTGGATTCTTGTTCCACATTCCTGATCTTAAATCTGTAAAGTAACTAATGTATAATAATTGCAGTTAAAAGCACAAAACGTGCTTCCAAACTGAAGTAGAATTTAAATTAGCAAAAATAATGAAGATACAGAAGTACTTTTCACCACATGAAATATCCTCATCAACAATACTTTCCCGATCATTTTAATCTTCGTTTCAACTCATTTGAACACATCTCGCAGCTTTGTCACTTCCTGTGTCTGCTCCGTCACTTCCTGTTCACTTGGCCCCTCTCAGCCTCAGGGTCCAGCCCCAGTCACAGGGCATCTCTCTGGGTGTGAGGGGGGGCAGATGGACAATAAGACCTCCACCAGAGGGCGCTCTATCCCACTTCATGGGCCCGACTCCCAGCAGCTCCACCTGCAGAAACAACAACATACATTATTTGTGTATGTATGGAATTATTTGAAATTCTTACTGTTGCAGCAAAAAAAAGCCATAACTAGAAAATGTCTCAAAGCGGATATCTCTTCTCTCGACAACTGGTACGACAAAGTTCATGAGATACATGTTATGGAAAGAATCACCTTCTCAATGAGGCTTCAGGAAAACACATTTGAGGAAATATGGAACAAGAAATATCCCAAAGACGACCATCTCTTGTTTGACTGAGATGTGTGTACGTACATGTTTGAATATACTGTGTATATATGAGTACCTGAGTACCAGGTTCAGGCACAGGTTCACTCAGAACCACAAATCCATCTTTGGGCCACTCCAGGAAAATGGCAAAGATGATTTTGTCCTGCGGTCTGAACGTGTACCTGAAACACAGGAGGAAGAAAACGTGGTCAAAATGAGAGAATTATTTGTCATCTTTCTTTCAGTGTTTTGACTTCTCAGAAGATTCAAGTTATTTCATTTCTCACGTAATCTGAGAAAGTATTCCAGGTTTTTCTGGGTATTTACATCTCGTCTAAATGTACATTATTTAATTTCATATTGTGTTCTTGTACATATCGTATTCTTTTGACATGTATAGAGACTTCTAGCACTATTTAGTTTTTGTGTATTATATGTTGCATCGTTGGAGGAGCTCAGGTCAGAAGAGTCTCATTGCCATGTCTACTCTGAAGCTGCTGAGCATCTGACGATAACACCTTAGAATCTGAATTGTTTCTCTGAATATCACCCTGCTCTCCCCGTCTCTAATCAATATAAATATATGTTATCAACAAAAGGCCCTTTAAAAGCCAGCACACTCCCCGTGGGGACATTCAGGAGTTAAAGCAGCTCCTTAGTCTTCATACGCTGAGGAGTGTGCTTTAATTTAAATAACTGGGTATGTATTAGTATGTACAATTATTTGTATCTTTTTGTTTGGCCTTGTGATGGCTAAAATTGGAAGCCATTTTAGTTTTCACTTCATACAGCATCGTGAATTGCATGAAATGATGAGGGGTTTGGTTTAGTTTTAGTTTTGTGTGTGAGGACGAAGAATAGCTAATGCTAATGCTAATAGGGGTCTTAATAAAGAATAACTACAATAAATTAAATACTCACCACATGTCGGGGGTCCGGCTGTCGTCCTGAGTACTTCTACTTTTACTCAAGTACAAGATCTGAGTACTTCTACTTTTACTACAATATCTGAGTACTTCTACTTTTACTCAAGTACAATATCTGAGTACTTCTACTTTTACTACAAGATCTGAGTACTTCTACTTTTACTCAAGTACAAGATCTGAGTACTTCTACTTTTACTACAAGATCTGAGTACTTCTACTTATACTACAAGATCTGAGTACTTCTACTTTTACTCAAGTACAAGATCTGAGTACTTCTACTTTTACTACAAGATCTGAGTACTTCTACTTTTACTCAAGTACAAGATCTGAGTACTTCTACTTTTACTCAAGTACAAGATCTGAGTACTTCTACTTTTACTCAAGTACAAGATCTGAGTACTTCTACTTTTACTACAAGATCTGAGTACTTCTCCCACCTCTGACGATGGAGGAGTCCTTGTAGTATTTGTATGAGGAAACTTCAACTCCTTCATATAAAGAACTCAATTAAGTGACTGTTAACTAGTATATATTGATTGTTGTGCTTTATCTTAATGTGTGCACATGTACACATATGTCCGTGGATTCTGTATATATAGGATATATGTTTTATATATAATTGTATTTTTGTGTTCTGGATTGTGGGAAACAGTATTTCCATCTCTCTGTCTGTACACACAAACTGAACGATTGACAATAAAGTTGACTTTGAGACTTCAAATGAAATGTCCTCACCACAGGTTAGGGGTCCGGCTGTCGTTCTGCGCCCTCCATGGCGTGGTGTTATAGATCCCCCCCCCGTTGACCTGCAGCCAGCTACCCATCTGTCTGAGTCTCTCCTCGCTGAGGGGGGGGATCCTCCCGTCGGGGGTCGGACCCACGTTCATCAGGAGGTTCCCCCCAAGGGACACCGTCTCCACCAGCATCTACACACACACACACACACACATTATTAAAGGTCCCCTATCATTCTCTTCTTCATCAATATATCACAGGGCTCAGATATATCCAGAGCCTGTCTCTGATTGGCTGAAACACCAAACAGATCGTTGCAGCATTACCCATAATCCCCGCTGTTTCAGCCCTGTTTCCAAAGTGCTGATTCTCTGTCTGTTACTGTAGATGAAAACCAGGAGCCCCTCCCCACGCCCCTCTGAGAGACATTTGGTTACAAAGAACTCGATGGAGCTCTAGGAGGAGATTCAGGTGATAAGGGGGGGGGGGGGGGGGGGTTACCTTGGTTGCTGATTGGCTAATGGCTACACAAGACAAAACATCGTTATGACATCATAAAGTGGCCAAAATCTGATCAGCTCATTTTCAGACAGGTTTTTATAGAAATGGATCAAAAAGAGAGAGAATCTTTGTTCCTGAAACTTTCAGAGTCTCAGGGGACACATGTTGATGTAGAAGAGACATGAAGAAGAGGGGACACATGTTGATGTAGAAGAGACATGAAGAAGAGGGGACACATGTTGATTTAGAAGAGACATGAAAAAGAGGAGACACATGTTGATGTAGAAGAGACACGAAGAAGAGGGGACACATGTTGATGTAGAAGAGACATGAAGAAGAGGGGACACATGTTGATGTAGAAGAGACATGAAGAAGAGGGGACACATGTTGATGTAGAAGAGACATGAAAAAGAGGAGACACATGTTGATGTAGAAGAGACACGACAGGAAGAGGGGACACATGTTGATGTAGAAGAGACACGAAGAAGAGGGGACACATGTTGATGTAGAAGAGACATGAAGAGAGGGGACACATGTTGATGTAGAAGAGACATGAAGAAGAGGGGACACATGTTGATGTAGAAGAGACATGAAGAAGAGGGGGACACATGTTGATGTAGAAGAGACATGAAGAAGAGGGGACACATGTTGATGTAGAAGAGACATGAAGAAGAGGGGACACATGTTGATGTAGAAGAGACATGAAGAAGAGGGGACACATGTTGATGTAGAAGAGACATGAAGAAGAGGGGGACACATGTTGATGTAGAAGAGACATGGAGAAGAGGGGACACATGTTGATGTAGAAGAGACATGGAGAAGAGGGGACACATGTTGATGTAGAAGAGACATGAAGAAGAGGGGACACATGTTGATGTAGAAGAGACATGGAGAAGAGGGGGACACATGTTGATGTAGAAGAGACATGAAGAAGAGGGGACACATGTTGATTTAGAAGAGACATGAAGAAGAGGGGACACATGTTGATGTAGAAGAGACATGAAGAAGAGGGGACACATGTTGATGTAGAAGAGACATGAAGAAGAGGGGACACATGTTGATGTAGAAGAGACACGAAGAAGAGGGGACACATGTTGATGTAGAAGAGACACGAAGAAGAGGGGACACATGTTGATGTAGAAGAGACACGAAGAAGAGGGGACACATGTTGATGTAGAAGAGACATGAAGAAGAGGGGACACATGTTGATGTAGAAGAGACATGAAGAAGAGGGGACACATGTTGATTTAGAAGAGACATGAAGAAGAGGGGACACATGTTGATGTAGAAGAGACGTGAAGAAGCGGGGACACATGTTGATGTAGAAGAGACGTGAAGAAGAGGGGACACATGTTGATTTAGAAGAGACATGAAGAAGAGGGGACACATGTTGATTTAGAAGAGACATGAAGAAGAGGGGACACATGTTGATGTAGAAGAGACATGGAGAAGAGGGGACACATGTTGATGTAGAAGAGACATGGAGAAGAGGGGACACATGTTGATTTAGAAGAGACATGAAGAAGAGGGGACACATGTTGATGTAGAAGAGACATGAAGAAGAGGGGACACATGTTGATGAAGAAGAGACATGAAGAAGAGGGGACACATGTTGATGTAGAGGAGACATGAAGAAGAGGGGACACATGTTGATGTAGAAGAGACATGAAGAAGAGGGGACACATGTTGATGTAGAAGAGACATGAAGAAGAGGGGACACATGTTGATGTAGAAGAGACATGAAGAAGAGGGGACACATGTTGATGTAGAAGAGACATGAAGAAGAGGGGACACTTGTTGATGTAGAAGAGACAGGAAGAAGAGGGACACATGTTGATGTAGAAGAGACGTGAAGAAGCGGGGACACATGTTGATGTAGAAGAGACATGAAGAAGAGGAGACACATGTTGATGTAGAAGAGACATGAAGAAGAGGGGACACATGTTGATGTAGAAGAGACATGAAGAAGAGGGGACACATGTTGATGTAGAAGAGACATGAAGAAGAGGGGACACTTGTTGATGTAAAAGAGACAGGAAGAAGAGGGGACACATGTTGATGTAGAAGAGACGTGAAGAAGCGGGGACACATGTTGATGTAGAAGAGACGTGAAGAAGAGGGGACACATGTTGATGTAGAAGAGGGGACACATGTTGATGTAGAAGAGACATGAAGAAGAGGGGACACATGTTGATGTAGAAGAGACGTGAAGAAGAGGGGACACATGTTGATGTAGAAGAGACATGAAGAAGAGGGGACACGTGTTGATGTAGAAGAGGGGACACATGTTGATGTAGAAGAGGCATGAAGAAGAGGGGACACATGTTGATGTAGAAGAGACATGAAGAAGAGGGGACACATGTTGATGTAGAAGAGACATGAAGAAGAGGGGACACATGTTGATGTAGAAGAGACATGGAGAAGAGGGGACACATGTTGATGTAGAAGAGACATGAAGAAGAGGGGACACATGTTGATATAGAAGAGACATGAAGAAGAGGGGACACATGTTGATGTAGAAGAGGCATGAAGAAGAGGGGACACATGTTGATGTAGAAGAGGCATGAAGAAGAGGGGACACATGTTGATGAAGAAGAGACATGAAGAAGAGGGGACACATGTTGATGTAGAAGAGACATGGAGAAGAGGGGACACATGTTGATGTAGAAGAGGCATGAAGACGAGGGGACACATGTTGATGAAGAAGAGACATGAAGAAGAGGGGACACATGTTGATGTAGAAGAGGCATGAAGAAGAGGGGACACATGTTGATGTAGAAGAGACATGGAGAAGAGGGGACACATGTTGATGTAGAAGAGACATGAAGAAGAGGGGACACATGTTGATGTAGAAGAGACATGAAGAAGAGGGGACACATGTTGATGTAGAAGAGACATGGAGAAGAGGGGACACATGTTGATGTAGAAGAGACATGAAGAAGAGGGGACACATGTTGATGTAGAAGAGACATGAAGAAGAGGGGACACATGTTGATGTAGAAGAGACATGGAGAAGAGGGGACACATGTTGATGTAGAAGAGGCATGAAGAAGAGGGGACACATGTTGATGTAGAAGAGGCATGAAGAAGAGGGGACACATGTTGATGTAGAAGAGACATGAAGAAGAGGGGACACATGTTGATGTAGAAGAGACATGGAGAAGAGGGGACACGTGTTGATGTAGAAGAGACATGAAGAAGAGGGGACACATGTTGATGTAGAAGAGACATGAAGAAGAGGGGACACATGTTGATGTAGAGACATGAAGAAGAGGGGACACATGTTGATGTAGAAGAGACATGGAGAAGAGGGGACACGTGTTGATGTAGAAGAGACATGAAGAAGAGGGGACACATGTTGATGAAGAAGAGACATGGAGAAGAGGGGACACATGTTGATGTAGAAGAGACATGAAGAAGAGAGGACACATGTTGATGTAGAAGAGACATGAAGAAGAGGGGACACATGTTGATGTAGAAGAGACATGAAGAAGAGGGGACACGTGTTGATGTAGAAGAGACATGAAGAAGAGGGGACACATGTTGATGTAGAAGAGACATGAAGAAGAGGGGACATATGTTGATGTAGAAGAGACATGGAGAAGAGGGGACACATGTTGATGTAGAAGAGACATGAAGAAGAGGGGACACATGTTGATGTAGAAGAGACATGAAGAAGAGGGGACACATGTTGATGTAGAAGAGACATGAAGAAGAGGGGACACATGTTGATGTAGATACATGAAGAAGAGGGGACACATGTTGATGTAGAAGAGACATGAAGAAGAGGGGACACATGTTGATGTAGAAGAGACATGGAGAAGAGGGGACACGTGTTGATGTAGAAGAGACATGAAGAAGAGGGGACACATGTTGATGTAGAAGAGACATGAAGAAGAGGGGACACATGTTGATGTAGAGACATGAAGAAGAGGGGACACATGTTGATGTAGAGGAGACATGAAGAAGAGGGGACACATGTTGATGTAGAAGAGACATGAAGAAGAGGGGGACACATGTTGATGTAGAAGAGACATGAAGAAGAGGGGACACATGTTGATGTAGAAGAGACATGAAGAAGAGGGGACACATGTTGATGTAGAAGAGACATGAAGAAGAGGGGACACATGTTGATGTAGAAGAGACATGAAGAAGAGGGGACACATGTTGATGTAGAAGAGACATGAAGAAGAGGGGACACATGTTGATGTAGAAGAGACATGAAGAAGAGGGGACACATGTTGATGAAGAAGAGACATGAAGAAGAGGGGACACATGTTGATGAAGAAGAGACATGAAGAAGAGGGGGACACGTGTTGATGTAGAAGAGACATGAAGAAGAGGGGACACATGTTGATGTAGAAGAGACATGAAGAAGAGGGGACACATGTTGATGTAGAAGAGACATGAAGAAGAGGGGACACATGTTGATGTAGAAGAGACATGAAGAAGAGGGGACACATGTTGATGAAGAAGAGACATGAAGAAGAGGGGACACATGTTGATGAAGAAGAGACATGGAGAAGAGGGGACACGTGTTGATGTAGAAGAGACATGAAGAAGAGGGGACACGTGTTGATGAAGAAGAGACATGAAGAAGAGGGGACACATGTTGATGAAGAAGAGGACATGGAGAAGAGGGGACACATGTTGATGTAGAAGAGACATGAAGAAGAGGGGACACGTGTTGATGTAGAAGAGACATGAAGAAGAGGGGACACGTGTTGATGTAGAAGAGACATGAAGAAGAGGGGACACATGTTGATGTAGAAGAGACATGAAGAAGAGGGGACACATGTTGATGTAGAAGAGACATGAAGAAGAGGGGACACATGTTGATGTAGAAGAGACATGAAGAAGAGGGGACACATGTTGAGTAGAAGAGACATGAAGAAGAGGGACACATGTTGATGTAGAAGAGACATGAAGAAGAGGGGACACATGTTGATGTAGAAGAGACATGAAGAAGAGGGGACACATGTTGATGTAGAAGAGACATGAAGAAGAGGGGACACATGTTGATGTAGAAGAGACATGGAGAAGAGGGGACACATGTTGATGTAGAAGAGACATGGACGAGTGGATTTTGCATAATAGGTGACCTTTAACTCATATATTATAATCATATTGTAAAAATAATAAAACACTTTTATATATTTTTTATTTTAATAGTATATTTTTATTTAATTGTAATAATTCTTCCATTCGATTGAATATTTCTTGATTTTTTAAAATATAATAATATTGTATATCTTCATGGCTGCAACTAAAGCCAGAACATAGTTCATCAGCAGGTTCCCTTTTAATTTAAGATTTATTTCTTAATTATCAAACAAAAGCTATTTTTCAATGATGGAGATTTTTCTAATTATTAATAAAAGCAGTATTTTATAATTATTTATTTTGAACTAATAATAAATATTTGTCATTCTTTATTTTTCATGATTTTATTATTAAATATGTTTTATTTGTATTATTAATAAATATACTTTTTTTTTTTTAATTATTATTAATACATATGTTTTATTGTTTATTTTTGTTTGTTATTATTATAATAAATATCTCTCTCTCACGGTTACGAGCTCCTGGATGGTCATGTAGTCTTTGAGCACTGCGTTGCGTCGGTATCCCCACGACTTCCTGTCCAGGGTCATGCAGTTTTCCCACTTGCGTTTCATCAGGTGTCCGGGCAGGTATCGGTCGCTGCAGGTGTAGAAACCTCCGTGTTTGCAGATGGTTCCGTAGCCCCAGCGGTCGTTCGTCACCACGGTGTCGCGCACAGGACTGTGGGAAATAACACGTGAGAGTAGAGAACATGCCGAGAAATGTACGAGAAAAACGTCAGAATTCTGCAACTTTGAGGATTTGAAGATTTTGAGAAAAAAAATCTGAATTTTGAGAATTTCAAAATCAAGTCAGATTGTTTCGATGTTCTGAAAAACGTAAAAATAATAATGTGTGATTGTGAGAAGAAAGTAAGAATTTTGTGATTTTGAGTAAAAATGTAAAATAATGTTTGCCTTCAACCTTGGGCTGCTGCGCTCTCAGTGTTCGTCTCCCTGCTCCTGCCTGTTGGCGTCAGCTCATAGAGGCGTTATGGTTCTATCTTGTTATGCACAATGTTGATTATTCTCTCAGAGCTCAATACGTGGTCTGGGGTAGAGATCTTCAGAAACACAGAACATCTCTTGTGAATTCTCCGGCCGAAGCTCCAAATAAACCATCAGCGTTTCCATCAAAAGCTCCTGCTCTCCCTGTGTCTCTCTGAGTCTCCATTGATCCAGAAGTTTCCATCACAAAAGTAACTTAAGTGTCTGATCTCTCCTGTACGATATCTTAGTAACTCAAGTGTCTGATCTCTCCTGTACGATATCTTTGTAACAGTAACTCAAGTGTCTGATCTCTCCTGTACGATATCTTAGTGACTCAAGTGTCTGATCTCTCCTGTACGATATCTTAGTAACTCAAGTGTCTGATCTCTCCTGTACGATATCTTAGTAACTCAAGTGTCTGATCTCTCCTGTACGATATCTTAGTAACAGTAACTCAAGTGTCTGATCTCTCCTGTACGATATCTTTGTAACAGTAACTCAAGTGTCTGATCTCTCCTGTACGATATCTTTGTAACAGTAACTCAAGTGTCTGATCTCTCCACAGCTTCTGCCCATTCACTTTGAATGGGGTGACGTCGCTTTTCGCCGAACTGCATTGTGGGAAGCAGAGCGGAGCTTTCCTGGCGTTTCAGGCTGCAAAAGTTGAGCAATGTTCAACTTTTGAAGCTTCTGAAGCTTCGACGGAAGCGTCAGCCAATCAAATCATATGCCAGTGCAAGCTCTAGCCAATCATACCGCTCAAAAAACTCAAAAATCTTTCAAAGAAATCTCATAATTATGACTTTTTCTCAAAATCAAAACATAAAGTGTGTGAGCGCTCCCGCACGTTACCTGTCGTTGTAGAGCCAGGCCAGGAAGCCGGTGCTGTTCCAGTACGAGTCGGGAGCGTCTCCGTCTCCGTCCGACCACAGAATCTCGGGTTTGTACTTCGTGATGAGCTCGTACAGCTCAGGCAGCGTCTTACTGGTGGGGAAGAGGTTTGTTGTGAAGACGTTAGCAGCGTCCTGCTCGAACAGTGGGTTGAACCATTCGAACAGAGAGTGGTACAGTCCGAGCCGCAGGTCGCTGTTCGCTCGCAACGCCGTCGACATCTCGTGTACCAGATCTCTTTTCGGACCCACGTCCACTGAGTTCCAGTTCCACGAGTACTTCGAGCCCCACAGCGTGAAACCTGAACATATTAAACAATGCATCACTAATGCAATTATAGCTTAGTTTAAGCGTTTTGAAATTGGGTTGGAAAGAGCATTTGCGCTACTGTTTCAGAAATAATGCTTGATGTGGTTTGGAACATGATGGTGTTTAATCACGGCAGCATTTAACTGTATCTGCCGGTAGAATTCTGATCAGGCATTAGCTCCACCTCCTCTTTTTTTTTTTTTTCAAGCTAAGGACCCAAAATCAGTTTCTCTAACAGCTGGAACAGAGGCGTTTGAGGGATGTCTAAAATGCATGAAAAAACATGTTTTTATATATTTGAATACATCTGAGACCCATAATATATGCCTACAAATAGCATGATAGGAGGCCTTTAAAGTGTAGCACAACAGTTAAAGAACGATACAATCTGTGCAGCAGGATGTCTCGTACCTTCGTGGTGTTTCGTGGTCAGGACGATGTATTTTGCTCCCGATGAGGCGAAGATGTCGGTCCACTCTTTGGCATCGAAGAACTCTGCGGTGAACTGTGGAGCGAAGTCCTGATACTGAAAGTCTGGAGGATAATTCTTCTTCATGAAGTCAATGTACGGCTGCAGCTTCTGCTTCTGCCAGAAGCACCTGACCAGAGAGGGAAAAGTACACTTCCTTTACTCAAGTAGAAGTACACATCCTTTACTCAAGTAGAAGTACACATCCTTTACTCAAGTAGAAGTACTGATACTCGTGTTTAAAGATGGTAAAAGTAGAAGTACTGACTAAACTTCTTTACTCAAGTCAAAGTAAAGAGGCTTTGAAGTGTACTTCAGTAGAAAGTACCCATAACTAGCAGCTGTTTTAAAGAGTACCTGACCTCCCTTTATATTAATAGAACAATAATGTCATTGTTAGCTAATGAATGTTTCCATGCTGAACAACGGCAACATGACAACGTTTCCATTGGTCCCTCTTCTTTAGAGAAGACCAGGAAATGATGGATACACGGATCGTGTTCAAATCAATAGGCACGCAATGACTCTAAAGAATAATGATCACGCATCAAACACACATTCAGACTAAAGGAACCAGCTGTTTGGAAAATGAGAGAAGTAGAAAGTACAGGTATTTGAGTTCAACATGAGAGAATTAGAAAGTACAGGTATTTGAGTTCAACATGTAAGAAGTAGAAAGTACAGGTATTTGAGTTCAACATGTAAGAAGTAGAAAGTACAGGTATTTGAGTTCAACATGTAAGAAGTAGAAAGTACAGGTATTTGAGTTCAACATGTAAGAAGTAGAAAGTACAGGTATTTGTGTTCAACATGTAAGAAGTAGAAAGTACAGGTATTTGAGTTCAACATGTGAGAAGTAGAAAGTACAGGTATTTGTGTTCAACATGTAAGAAGTAGAAAGTACAGGTATTTGAGTTCAACATGTGAGAAGTAGAAAGTACAGGTATTTGTGTTCAACATGTAAGAAGTAGAAAGTACAAGTATTTGAGTTCAACCTGTAAGAAGTAGAAAGTACAGGTATTTGAGTTCAACATGTGAGAAGTAGAAAGTACAGGTATTTGTGTTCAACATGTAAGAAGTAGAAAGTACAGGTATTTGAGTTCAACATGTGAGAAGTAGAAAGTACAGGTATTTGTGTTCAACATGTAAGAAGTAGAAAGTACAGGTATTTGAGTTCAACATGTGAGAAGTAGAAAGTACAGGTATTTGTGTTCAACATGTAAGAAGTAGAAAGTACAGGTATTTGGGTTCAACATGTAAGAAGTAGAAAGTACAGGTATTTGAGTTCAACATGTAAGAAGTAGAAAGTACAGGTATTTGAGTTCAACATGTGAGAAGTAGAAAGTACAGGTATTTGGGTTCAACATGTAAGAAGTAGAAAGTACAGGTATTTGGATTCAACATGTGAGAAGTAGAAAGTACAGGTATTTGAGTTCAACATGTGAGAAGTAGAAAGTACAGGTATTTGTGTTCAACATGTAAGAAGTAGAAAGTACAGGTATTTGAGTTCAACATGTGAGAAGTAGAAAGTACAGGTATTTGTGTTCAACATGTAAGAAGTAGAAAGTACAGGTATTTGGGTTCAACATGTAAGAAGTAGAAAGTACAGGTATTTGAGTTCAACATGTAAGAAGTAGAAAGTACAGGTATTTGAGTTCAACATGTGAGAAGTAGAAAGTACAGGTATTTGTGTTCAACATGTAAGAAGTAGAAAGTACAGGTATTTGGATTCAACATGTAAGAAGTAGAAAGTACAGGTATTTCGGTTCAACATGTAAGAAGTAGAAAGTACAGGTATTTGTGTTCAACATGTAAGAAGTAGAAAGTACAGGTATTTGAGTTCAACATGTAAGAAGTAGAAAGTACAGGTATTTGGGTTCAACATGTAAGAAGTAGAAAGTACAGGTATTTGAGTTCAACATGTAAGAAGTATAAAGTACAGGTATTTGAGTTCAACATGTAAGAAGTAGAAAGTACAGGTATTTGAGTTCAACATGTAAGAAGTAGAAAGTACAGGTATTTGTGTTCAACATGTAAGAAGTAGAAAGTACAGGTATTTGTGTTCAACATGTAAGAAGTAGAAAGTACAGGTATTTGAGTTCAACATGTAAGAAGTAGAAAGTACAGGTATTTGAGTTCAACATGTAAGAAGTAGAAAGTACAGGTATTTGTGTTCAACATGTAAGAAGTAGAAAGTACAGGTATTTGTGTTCAACATGTGAGAAGTAGAAAGTACAGGTATTTGAGTTCAACATGTAAGAAGTAGAAAGTACAGGTATTTGAGTTCAACATGTAAGAAGTAGAAAGTACAGGTATTTGTGTTCAACATGTAAGAAGTAGAAAGTACAGGTATTTGTGTTCAACATGTAAGAAGTAGAAAGTACAGGTATTTGAGTTCAACATGTAAGAAGTAGAAAGTACAGGTATTTGAGTTCAACATGTAAGAAGTAGAAAGTACAGGTATTTGAGTTCAACATGTAAGAAGTAGAAAGTACAGGTATTTGTGTTCAACATGTAAGAAGTAGAAAGTACAGGTATTTGAGTTCAACATGTAAGAAGTAGAAAGTACAGGTATTTGTGTTCAACATGTAAGAAGTAGAAAGTACAGGTATTTGAGTTCACATGTAAGAAGTAGAAAGTACAGGTATTTAAGTTCAACATGTAAGAAGTAGAAAGTACAGGTATTTGAGTTCAACATGTAAGAAGTAGAAAGTACAGGTATTTGAGTTCAACATGTAAGAAGTAGAAAGTACAGGTATTTGAGTTCAACATGTAAGAAGTAGAAAGTACAGGTATTTAAGTTCAACATGTAAGAAGTAGAAAGTACAGGTATTTGAGTTCAACATGTAAGAAGTAGAAAGTACAGGTATTTAAGTTCAACATGTAAGAAGTAGATAGTACAGGTATTTGAGTTCAACATGTAAGAAGTAGAAAGTACAGGTATTTGAGTTCAACATGTAAGAAGTAGAAAGTACAGGTATTTGAGTTCAACATGTAAGAAGTAGAAAGTACAGGTATTTGAGTTCAACATGTAAGAAGTAGAAAGTACAGGTATTTGTGTTCAACATGTAAGAAGTAGAAAGTACAGGTATTTGTGTTCAACATGTAAGAAGTAGAAAGTACAGGTATTTGAGTTCAACATGTAAGAAGTAGAAAGTACAGGTATTTGGGTTCAACATGTAAGAAGTAGAAAGTACAGGTATTTGAGTTCAACATGTAAGAAGTAGAAAGTACAGGTATTTGAGTTCAACATGTAAGAAGTAGAAAGTACAGGTATTTGTGTTCAAAATGAGAGAAGTAGAAAGTACAGGTATTTGAGTTCAAAATTAGAGAAGTAGAAAGTACAGTTATTTGTGTTCAACATGTAAGAAGTAGAAAGTACAGTTATTTGTGTTCAACATGTAAGAAGTAGAAAGTACAGGTATTTGTGTTCAACATGTAAGAAGTAGAAAGTACAGTTATTTGTGTTCAACATGTAAGAAGTAAAAGTAAAAAGTGGTCAGAAAAATAAGTAGTGGAGTAAAGTACTGATACCAGAAAAATGTACTTAAGTACAGTAACGAGTATATATCAACTTTAACTATAACTTTAACCCTCTTTATATAGGGTTACTACAAAAGTAAACTGAAAAGGTAAGTCTTCTCCCACCTCTATACTTAAAGGAGGGGTAGGTACGTTTGAGAAACCGGCTCGAGATACACTTGTTATATTCCATGGAATGCTCTTAACATCCGATAGCAATGAATATCTGAAGTGCTTTGACAAAAAATCCATTAAAAAATGTCATCTGTGGAAGCCATGATACTGTAAAAAGCACGGGCCGGCTAAACGGATTGGATTGCCGCCCTGTCTGTCAGCCTTCCATCTCGTGCACGCACAAATGCACCTCGTGCTCTCATTGGGCGTGCATTGCAGCAGCACTTCAATGACTCGCCAGCAACAGGCGGCCACTTTCACCAGTCTGCTGACTGAAGTGCGCGTGCATGTGTGTTGGAGGAGGTGCTCTGTAAGGAAGTCTGAAGGAAGGGGCGGATTCTTTTCGGCTGTGTACTTTCCAATGTTAGTGCACTCGAGACGGTTTCTGAAACTTACCTACCCCACCTTTAATTAATACGAGGAAACACAAGGAGAACAATTCAATGTATGACATCAACTGCAAGATATAGTTAAAGTCGACCCTCTTTGTATAGGGTTATATACTCAAAGACACAAAAAGTATACATGTTATATTAAAACTGCATAGGTTAGTTTATATAACAATCACTTTACCTTAGGCCTAATCCAACTGACAATATTTGTTTACTTTGACTAACAAACGATTTTGAATGCAGGACAATTTGGTATTGGTATATTTAATTTAAATAAACTAAAAGAGTACTTTTCCACCTTTGTTTATTAGTCAATGATGTTGTATTGCTAAACTGAATCTATAGCAGTTCACTATTTCTCATGATGTAGTGGGCAAAGCAGTTCAAAAGTGTAAGTAAAGTACAAATACAGTAGAACAGAATTGTACTTAATCAGAGGTGGAAAGTACATTTACTAAAAAATTACCATTTCGAGGTACTTGTACTTTACTTGTGTATTTTCATGTTATGCTACTGTGTACTACTCCACTACAATTCAGAGGTAAATGGTGCACTTTTACTCCACTACATTTATTTAAAACCTTTAGTTACTTTTACTTTACTTTAAGTACAAGATCTGAGTGCTTCTACTTTTATACAAGATCTGTGTACTCCTTCTTTATACAAGATCTGAGTACTTGTACTTGTACTGACTGAGTACTAATCCTCACCAGAACCACTCGCTGCCGAAGCTTGGCACGGAGAAAACTCCCCAATGGATAAAGATGCCGAACTTCGCCTGGTCGAACCATTCGGGCAGCGGCCGGCTGTCGAGCGAACTCCAGTTCGGCTCGAACTTCGCTCGGCTGGAGCAAAACAGCACCGAGAAGAAGAGGAAGAAACACACCGATACTGCTGCCATCTTTCACCACAAAATCACCGAGTGTTGCTCAAAGATCCGGGGTACTGAGGAACCATCACGTGATGAAAGACAACGTTTAAAATACAATAATAAGAGTCAAGAGACATCAAATAAGACAGAGCAGAGCAATGAGGAAGAGAAGCTACTGTGATTAAAAAAAGGGTAGCGGCTCCTTTAAATAATTTGGAACGTTCAGTCAGGTGACCCTTGGCTCGCTTGCTGAGTGTCAACCAATCACATGAGATGGAACGCCTTCCCCTGGTTCGTCTAATCACGTGGGATGGAACGCCTCTTCCCGTTGCAACGCTGCGCTGTACTCCACTACGCATGCGCAGTCCGCCTCGCTTTTGCAGATTGTTTTGATCGTTTTTGAAAGCATGCTTTGAACGCTACGCTGTGTCCACATGCAGGGATACGTTGACTGCCACTGTCACATCTCCTCCAAGGATTTTGACAAGGTTAGTACAACATGTAAAGCACATTAAGTGTTTATTTTGTACATGAAATGTCTTATTAAGCGACACATGTTCCTCTGTCTGTTGTCAGGACTTAGAGGAGGTGGTGGAGAGTTCAAAACAGGTGAGTGGTGTCAGCTACAGAGTTTACTGAAGTACAGAAACAGTGTACAAATACTCTGTAACAAGTAGCATTTAATAAGGTGTTACTAGGATCCTCTTTAGGCGATGCAGCAATAGACACCACCAACATATAACTACCAGCATTTCTTTAACCTACTACAATATGTTGTATTAACATGTATCTACTTCTGTATCAGTAAACACAATTACTAACCTAGAGTGACATTTTCTTAACATATTCCTATGCATACCAAATAAATACTAACTCTTTTTAGTGTTGGTATCAATCAGAATCAGGTTTATTAACAAGTAGGTTGACACGTACGAGGAATTTGACTTGATGTCATGGTGCATACAAGTAAAACAACAATTAACATTTTAAGAAAACTATAATAACATTACAAAGCTTATTTCTATTATTTTTCAGTGTTGGTGATTGATCAGTGTTATTAGCACCAGGAAAAGCACTTTATAAATAACGTGTTTTTTATTTCCCAGGCTGGATTGTTAGCCATATTAGCCGTAGCCGAACATGCTGGGGAATTTGAGAAGATCATTGAGTTGTCACAGAGGTAACTATAACTATCAGACTGAAATAAATCAAATGTTTTCTTTGTACTGATGACTCTCTTCTTCTCAGGTTTCCAGGTTTTATTTTCCCGTGCCTGGGAGTCCACCCGGTTCAGGAAGTTTCCCCGGAGCAGCAGAGGGGCGCGTCTCTCCAGGTAAACTCAAATGTAAAGGGTCAGATTGTGGGATATTATACTAACCTTGTATCTGTGGAATGTCCTGCTAATTGGATCCTTGAGTTCAAAGACAGAAAACTGAGAAATGGTGTCATGCTAAAGGATGGAGAATTATGAGAGAGGGAGTTAGTAGCTAAGGACAAGCATGGTTGAGACACCATTAAATATGACCCAGGCTGAAACTGACCTGGGTTGAGATGTCGAACAAATATGATTGAGTGGGGGAATTCAGAATGGTAGAAGAAATAATGGTGTCTTACGTAATGGAGAGCATCAAGATCAAAAAGGAGAGCCTGAGACTCCCCTAGCAGTGGCAGAGCTGGGGGTTGGCTGGGGGTGGCCGTGGCCCCAGCTGAATCCTGGCCACCCTATTGGCCACCCCAAACACCCTCACCACGGGGGCCCAAAACAATTTTAGAACATGAAGAAAAAATGTTTAAGTAACCTTAACCTCCGCCTCCGGCACTTTCTAGCAGAGAGTGAGAGCATGTGAGCAGCAGAGGTCGCGTTAACCGAATATTTTCCGTCAATGACGGATTTTTTCTAACAATGACGGAAAAATCTGAAAGCAGTCCGTCATTTTGACGGATTAGAACACAACTCGGAACAGCGCCAAAATGTCCACCAGCGGCCCTCATTATATTACATCCTTAGTGGCCAGGTCGACTGAGGGCGATCTACTGTAGTCTGTAACTATTCTTTAGTCATTCTCACCCCTGTCCAGTTGGTGGCGAGTGTGTGTATATTAAGTAACTATTGTCTTTTGACCTCGCTGTTTAACCGGCTTTAGCAATCGCAAAATGTCACGGCAGCTGATCGTCCGAAGCTTTTTTAATAAGCCCAGTAATGTGATGGTTTGGATAAACGAGGTGAAAAGAGGGATTGATGCGGTGGAGGATGAAGGACAAGCCAGTAAGACTCAAACTGACAGCGTTCAGCCAGCGGCAGAGGGGCAAGCAAGTGGCAAGGAGTTCAAGCGGGAGTACCGGGTTCAGTGGGAGCAAGAGTTTAAGTGGCTGAGGAGGGAAGATGGCAAAATGTTCTGCGACATCTGTAGAGAAGCTAAGATGAGTAACGGATTTGTCCGAGGGTGCACGACGATGCAGAAATCAGCGTCCAGGCTACAGCAGGTCAATTGAGTTGTTCTTGTAAATGTTTTGGTCATATTCTGATTGTAATTGTCTCATTTAAAACGATGGCATTGTTCGTATTTGCCTGTTTAGGCACAATGGTGGCGGTGTTTTTAGCGGCCTCTGCCCCCTCTGCTGTCTGTCAGTGCAGGAACAAATAAATCATTCATGTTCGTGTTGACATGAAAAGTGACCACACGGTCGGTGTCTCTGTTCATCTTTTTGTTTCTCCATGCCCTTAGAAGTTCTGTATGAATCATTAAAACATGAATGAATGAGCATTTGCTGCTCAGTTCCCAAACATATTAAATAGGTCTCATCTCATCATTAAAACATGAAAAATAAAATGACGGGTAATAATGGATTATGACGTAAATTTTACGATCCTCTCCGTCAAAATGACGGACAACGAAAAAGTCTAACGCAACCACTGGTGAGCAGGGATGCTAGTACTTACGTGTGAACGATGTCTAACGACTCACAAAGTCAGGCTTTCAAAAGAGAAAAGAAAGGACAGAAAGACAAGAGAGAGGGACTAAAGGGCGACAGGATGTCACCCAGTTTTTCACAAGAAAAGGTGGGTGTGGTCCATGAGTGGTGGAAATCAGTCTGTTTGCTAAGCGTAGTCCATTGTAAATAATAATTGTTGTGGGTTTTTTTTTCTAAGCTGACATTAAGTTCTGTTAATATCTATAAAGAAAATGCAGAGGTTTTTAATTTCACTGCTCTTTTAGCTGACATTTAATAAATGCAGGTAGATTTTTAGCAGCTATTCACTAAATCAGTTGTCCCTGCCCCCGGTGCCAGGACCAACAGGTCCATCTCTAGGCTCAGCAGCCCTGCCCCCCCATAGTGCTGAACCTGAACCAGCTTTCCTCCCAACTGAAGGAGGTGAGCAGCATTGTGTTGAATGCCACTTAACATATCTGAAGGGAGACTGGAATGCAACATATATATATATATATATATATATATATATATAACAAAAAGCTAACATCTCATTTCAATTATACATTTCAAACACAGTATTTTCCCACATATGTAAGTTATATTTATTTGGATTTATGCATTCATGTTGATAATGTTCCATTCAAAAATGTTATCATTAAAAAGGCGTTTACACCATAAAAGATGACTATTGAGGTCTATTGTCAGGAATGTTAGTGTTATATCAAATAGTGAATTCTACTGCAGCAGAATGTTCCACGTCTGCACAGTGTTATATTTTCACAGCTCAGTGTCAGTAAATATTGTGCAGTTAGTATTGGACTACAAGATAGATGCAAGCCAGTACAGCAGGGGTCGGCAACCCCTGGCACGCATGCCAGCATTACCAGCATTGGCACGCGGCACCGTAACCAGTGGCACACTAGGAATAAGTGTGCAAAATATTGAAATTGTATTTTCGGATCCTGAACGAGACCGCCGCCAGAGCGCGTCTCCCCGTTATCTGCAGAAGGAAGCCATGCACGCAGCGCAGCCCCGCTCTCTTTATCTCCAGGTGACTTTCTGCCGCTTTCCTCCGTGGAGCTGATCGTTTCCCCACGGAGAGGAAAGCACTTCACAAACTGCAGTTCCCACAAGGAGCTGTCAACATGCCGCAGTGTCTGTAGTTGAAAGCCCAGGGGCGATCTGCTCATCTCTCATCGAAATAACATGCTACAAAGGGGCGGACTGGCCATCTGTGTGTTGAACCTTCCTGTCGGCTCCCAGACTGTAGTCGAGGAGGGGATGACTCTCTGTCGTCTCCCAGGGCAGAAGCAACAAGCTTCAGGTTCAATGACTGGAGAGAGGCGAGCTCTTCTGTTTCACAAAATACATCACAGACCTCTGTTTTTCTGCTTCCTCGTTTCACTTCCAGAAACATACACACGCTCCCTCACTGTCGCTCTACCACAAACACATGCGCATCTCTCTCTCTCTCTCTCTCTCTCTCTCTCTCTCTCTCTCTCTCTCTCTCTCTCTCTCTCTCTCTCTCTCTCTCTCTCTCTCTCTCTCTCTCTCTCTCTCTCTCTCTCTCTCTCAGGGACAGCGATCTCATCTCTGCATGACCCTCATATCACAACATGTGTGCTCTGGAGAATCACAGAACGGACGATCGTCCTTATTATTATGCCGTTTAAACCAATTATTTAAATGTGTTTGTTGAATTCGGCATCATGTAAGTTGCGCTGACAGGTCCACACACTGTTTCCCCGCAGCGAGGCTCCCCCGCCCTCCTGCTGATAGTTGACGAGCGTCAAGCTCCTCAACCCCCCCGTTGATAATTCAACCTGCTGTACAGGTAGAGTTATTTAAAGCATAAATGAGTGGGTTGGGTTCTGCAGGTGTGGTTACAGCAGTGTGCTTGGTCGGCGTGGCCTGTGCCTGTGGGGGGCCCAATGTGATATATTTCCATGGGGCCCAGAATCCCTGGCAGCGCCACTGGTTGTGTGAGTGTATGGCCAGAGGGCATACATTTACTACCCAATAGCATTGTGAGGCTGAACAAAAGGACCTTTTGACTTTGTAAATGTGGTCTTTAAAAAAACAAAATAGCTTAAAGTAATGTTTCAAAATTACAACCGGGGGCCTTACAGGGTTAAGGGCTATTGTTTATTGTTATTTACTTTAAGATGTTTATTCTTAACCAATAATTTAATAAAGTTATATGAGTGATAGTGAAACTTTTTAACTTTCATTTAGCAAAGAATAGCGTGAAACTTTACATGCAAGTTTCAAAGTAACTTCCTGAAATGTAACTGTCTGCAGTGATTGCTCCCCGGGCATAAGGAAGTTGCTCTACTTAGTTTAAACTCCCACTAACCCTACTTTACATTCAAAACAAATAGCTTATCAAATGTGGCACGGCATTATTGATAAAGCTACATATTAGTCTATAAAATAGTTACATCACACTTATCTTAACCAGCAACACCAATAAAATACTGCTTCACATAAATGCATCGCAAATAATCATCAGTTTGTATTCAATGCATATAGAGGCGACTGAACCAAACATCGACAGTTCATCCATGCTTTTCTTCACTTGTCAGTTGTTGTTGTTGTTGTTGTTCAAGCTCTCAAACTAACGAGCGGGCAGTACATCACATCGGCTCTTTTGCTGCTACTTTGACAACATGTTCCAATCTTTATTTCAGACTCAAGGTCCATATCACACAAAAAGACAAGACACAAATCAATAAATAAGATAAAAAGCTAAACACACAACAGATAAAAACAAACAGATAAGAACATAAAATCAGTCCAATCACAGCGAGCCACATGCTCACCGTCTGTATCGGCTATTGCGCCAATGTCTCCAAATCATGGAAGAGAACCGGGTAGAACTCTTCACAGGGTTAATTAAAATCGAAATAACATAATTGTCCGAGTCTACTAGGCGACACATGCATGTGTACATTAACTTTATTAAAAGGTCTTGACAGGTAGATGCCCCCAAGTTAACAAACAGCTGGCTGGCACTGTGCCGTCTCGGTACCCTCAGCAGCAACCGTAAAGCATCATTGTATGCAACTTTTAGTTTTGTATGCTGCTAGCCTTGAAGTTACTCCACAGGTGAGCCTTGTAGTTACTCCACAGGTGAGCCGTGTAGTTACTCCACAGGTGAGCCTTGTAGTTACTCCACAGGTGAGCCTTGTAGTTACTCCACAGGTGAGCCTTGTAGTTACTCCACAGGTGAGCCTTGTAGTTACTCCACAGGTGAGCCTTGTAGTTACTCCACAGGTGAGCCTTGTAGTTACTCCACAGGTGAGCTGTGTAGTTACTCCACAGGTGAGCCTTGTAGTTACTCCACAGGTGAGCCGTGTAGTTACTCCACAGGTGAGCCGTGTAGTTACTCCACAGGTGAGCCTTGAAGTTACTCCACAGGTGAGCCTTGTAGTTACTCCACAGGTGAGCCTTGTAGTTACTCCACAGGTGAGCCGTGTAGTTACTCCACAGGTGAGCCTTGTAGTTACTCCACAGGTGAGCCTTGTAGTTACTCCACAGGTGAGCCGTGTAGTTACTCCACAGGTGAGCCTTGTAGTTACTCCACAGGTGAGCCTTGTAGTTACTCCACAGGTGAGCCTTGTAGTTACTCCACAGGTGAGCTGTGTAGTTACTCCACAGGTGAGCCTTGTAGTTACTCCACAGGTGAGCTGTGTAGTTACTCCACAGGTGAGCCTTGTAGTTACTCCACAGGTGAGCCGTGTAGTTACTCCACAGGTGAGCCGTGTAGTTACTCCACAGGTGAGCCGTGTAGTTACTCCACAGGTGAGCTTGTAGTTACTCCACAGGTGAGCCTTGTAGTTACTCCACAGGTGAGCCTTGTAGTTACTCCACAGGTGAGCCTTGTAGTTACTCACAGGTGAGCCTTGTAGTTACTCCACAGGTGAGCTGTGTAGTTACTCCACAGGTGAGCCTTGTAGTTACTCCACAGGTGGAAGCCGTGTAGTTACTCCACAGGTGAGCCGTGTAGTTACTCCACAGGTGAGCCGTGTAGTTACTCCACAGGTGAGCCTTGTAGTTACTCCACAGGTGAGCTGTGTAGTTACTCCACAGGTGAGCCTTGTAGTTACTCCACAGGTGAGCCTTGTAGTTACTCCACAGGTGAGCCTTGTAGTTACTCCACAGGTGAGCTGTGTAGTTACTCCACAGGTGAGCCGTGTAGTTACTCCACAGGTGAGCCGTGTAGTTACTCCACAGGTGAGCCGTGTAGTTACTCCACAGGTGAGCCGTGTAGTTACTCCACAGGTGAGCCTTGTAGTTACTCCAGAGGTGAGCCTTGTAGTTACTCCACAGGTGAGCCGTGTAGTTACTCCACAGGTGAGCCTTGTAGTTACTCCACAGGTGAGCCTTGTAGTTACTCCAGAGGTGAGCCTTGTAGTTACTCCACAGGTGAGCCTTGTAGTTACTCCACAGGTGAGCCGTGTAGTTACTCCACAGGTGAGCCTTGTAGTTACTCCACAGGTGAGCCGTGTACAATGGTGTACAGAAAGCTTTAAAAAGCGATACCTTGACATCTACAGAGCACTTGTGAAACTTACGCATTAATATGTTTGCCTGCATACAGTTTGCAGCGCTGTCTATGGATGTCTTTGTCATCTGTGAGATCATCAGAAATATAATGACCAAGGTTCTTGATCTCACTGCACACAAGAAGAATGTTGCTACTGAGAATAAAATGAGGAAATACAGCCTTTTTATCCTCTTTACTTCGCACAACCATGATGCTACTCTTCTTGGCGTTATACTTCATATTAAAATCAATGCCAGACTGGGAACAAGTCCTCAGAAGCTGTTGTAAGCCAGCACTGCACGGGGAGAAGATGATTAAATCATCAGCATACATAAGGTGGTTGACAACAGTAGCTCCGATGACACAGCCAGTTTTACACAAGTTCAGTTTCCTCGACAGATCATCCAGGTACAGATTAAACAACACAGGAGATAAAATCCCACCTTGCTTGACCCCATTACCAACATCAACATGTTCAGACACAGTATTGCGCCACTTCCCCTGCATAGTCTGATGTGCATACCAAAAGGCTAAGATCCTTATTATGTACTTGGGTTCCCCTCTCTGGCACATTTTGTCAAATAATTTGAAATGATTCAGTCGATCAAATGCCTTGGAAGCATCAATACAACACAGAAACATGGTGGAATTATGGCTTCTATATTTTGCTATAATGTCTTTTAAAGCAAAAATACACATATCTGTGCCGTGTTTTCTTTTAAAACCGAACTGGTTGTCAGCTGTGGTAATATACCTTTCCAGCCTATCCAACAGAATTTTCTCCAACACTTTGGAGAAAATGCTAGCTAAAGAAATGGGTCTGTAATTATCAATGCCACCCCAAAATGATCACTGGTTCCATCCTGGTCACCCCACTGAAAATGTCACTGTCCCCTAGAACCTGAGGTCAACCGATACTCCACTAAGTAGTTTATTCCTGGGATGACAGAGGAGTACACACACACACACACACACACACACACACACACACACACACACACACAGGCCGTTTCTCCATGTCGAGTAAACCTGCTGCAGAGCCACTATTTCAAGTATACTACGTCATCGAGTGGCGCCGAAGGACTGTTTAAATGTCCAGCATTCGGCGCCACTCGATAATAATAATAATATATTTTATTTATAAGCGCACTTTTAATTTGCGGAAACTCAAAGTGCTAAATGACGTAGTATACCTGAAATAGTGGCTCTGCAGCAGGTTTACTCGACATTGAGAAACGGCCACACACACACACACACACACACACACACACACACACACACACACACACACACACACACACACACACACAGTAAAGGCAGTGACTTCAGGAACTGACTCGTGTTTGCTGTATTTGGTTGAATCTTCAGTAAACTCTATTCTATTGGAACTCTGTTGATCAGTGTTTTTCATACCAAGGACTTAACCAATAAAAAAACACTCGCGGACCACCTAACTCCACAAATATAAAAAACACATGGTTTTTCTAGAACAGATTACAAATCGCCTGAAAATGGTACAAACAGGTTGCAACATGTGTGAGGAAGGTGTTGCCCTGGGCTGTATCATGCAATCGAACGTTAAGCTCGCTCCATTGCGGAGATATTCCCGCGAGAGTGCGGAAACTTAAATGTATTTATTTATTTCAAATTTGAAATGTTACCAATATACTCACGGACCACTAGGGGGCGCTCACGGACCACCAGTGGTCCGCGGACCACACTTTGAGAAGCACAGTCAACAGTGTTGACTGACTTCTTTGAAAGTGAAATAAGTGTTAACATAGTGTGGTGAAGATCTCGAAAACATTCGGCCCAACTTCAGAGGTTTCCTCCGCAACACAATCACACAGATTATTACAAATACATCTCATGTGTTCAGTACAGTGTACTGTTTGAGTTGGCGAGCAAGAGTTCAGATTCTAAATTCCTTTCAGGCGAACTAGATTTTGATAATTGACTTATTGATTAAATTAATTACATTTCTTCTTCTTCTTAATTGGACCTCGTCACGACCAAGGTACAACTTCATTGTTATAATGAAGGTTCAAAGTGTGTGTGTCTCCTGCAGGATCTAGATGCCGCTCTGCCTTTAATAGAGGAATACAAAGACCAGCTGGTGGCCATCGGAGAGGTACGAGAACACATTATTACTGCGCATATTTTATTTCAACTCTATTTTTTTTATAAATGTTATTATAGTTTCTCCAAATAGTTTTCTATCTGTTTTATTTTATTTTATGTATGCACCACAACACCAAGTAAAGTCCTCGTATGTGTTCAACCTACCTGGTGATAAACCTGACTCTGATGATATATCAAATGACAGTCTGGCACTAAAGTACATTCCCAAAGACATTGAAGTGATTTTGTATATTTTGGTTGTTGTGTTTTTATCTTAATGTGTGCATATGTATAATTGTGTATGTATAGGATATACATATTTTATATATGTTTGTGTTTTTATATTCAGGATTGTGGGAAACGGTATTTCGATCCCTCTGTACACACAAACTGAACGATTGACAATAAAGTTGACTCTGACTGATTCTGATTCTCAAAGTCAACTTTATTGTCAATCTTTCAGTTTGTGTGTACACAGAGATCGAAATACCGTTTCCCACAATCCAGAATATAGAAACAAATATATATAGAAATATATATATAGAAATATGTATACACCTATATGCACACATTAAGACATAAATACAAGCACAACAATCAATATATACAAAATAACAGTCACTTCAATGTCTTTGAGAAATGTACATTAGTGCAAGACTGTCCATAGCAGCGTAAAAAGTGTCTGGTGCTTGAATCTGTTTATCGACTATTCTGCACTGTTTCTATTATATTTCACTGTATTTACTCACCTGCGCACTATTATCTGTGTTATTGTGTTGCTCTGTGGGAGGAGCCTGTGACCTCAGATGTTCATTCTCATAACTACACTGTAGCTCTGTGCGCATGACATCTCCCCCCCCCTGTGGTGCAGGTCGGTCTGGACTTCACGCCCCGGTTTGTGAGAGGCGAGACGGATAAAGACGTCCAGAGGAAAGTTCTGATCCGTCAGGCTCAGATCGCCAAAGCGCTGGATCTGCCTCTGTGAGTACAGATGGAGGATAGATCAGATCAGATCAGATCAGAAGCACTTTGTTCATCCCAATGTGGGAAATGTTTGCGTTGCGTTAAAAGACGAGGCATTGTACATTAGAGAAATTAAAAGACTAGAAATGAACAATCCAACATGTAAACATCTCAAATAGAAATAACATAGCATTAAAAAAGTAGAAATTGAATATAAAATGTAAAATGTACAGTTTGATTTTAAGTCATCCAAGAGAAGCTATGGAGAAAAACATCCTCCCCTCTGTCATGAACCTTGGAGTGACTTTCAACAGCGCTTTTAAATTCGATAAGCAGGTCAGCACCGTAGTCAAATCCTGCTTTTTAAAAATACGACTATTGGCTAAGACCAAGTAGTTTTTATCTTTTAAAGACCTAGAAAGGGTTATTCACGCCTTTGTGACCTTGAGGCTGGATTACTGCAACGCTCTGTATGTGGGTATGGACCAGGCCTCAATTAGACGCCTGTAGCTAGTTCAGAACGCAGCTGCACGTCTTCTCACTGGCCACAAAAAGCGTGACCACATCACCCCAATTCTGGCCTCACTGCACTGGCTTCCAGTCCGGTTCAGAATTTATTTTAAACTCCTTTTATTTGTTTTCAAAGCCCTAAATGGGCTGGCTCCGGCCTATATAGCAGAACTCCTCCAGCGCTACACCCCAGAGCCTTAAGGTCGGCTGACCAGCTGCTGCTGGTAGTGCCCAAGACCAGGCTCAAACCCCGAGGGCACCGAGCCTTCGCAGCGGCTGGCCCCAGGCTCTGGAACGCTCTGCCCCTCCATGTGAGGTCGGCCCAGACCCTGGGGTTTTTTAATCAACCCTAAAGACTCACTTCTTCTCCCTGACCTTCTAGTCAGAGCGGAGCACGACTCCTGACTTTTCCCTGTGCTTTTGTTTTTTATATTTCTGTTGTAAGTGATTGTCTTTTATTGTGATTGTAGTATGTTTTTATTACATGTACTTTGGCTCGACCAAAAATCGCTTTTAAATGTGCTATATAAATAAAACTTGATTTGATTTGGACCCTGATTAGATCCCACCACAAAACAACAAATAAATGATTGACATGTCGTTTATTAAATCCCATTTCATGAACACAATATGCGGTTAATATGCAATGCCAAATGTTTATCTTATTGATACACATATTAAGATATTAAATACATGCAGACATATTTTTAAGAGCTTATTAAAGAGTATTACAGTCTCAGTTGGTGCAGGAAATGTATGTTTTTTATTTCCAGAAATGTTCACTCCCGTTCTGCAGGACGACCCACCATCCAGCTGCTCAGGGAACAAGGTAACACATATTATTATTCCTATTATTATTTCAATCAGTAGAGACGGTGTTGATGTAAGAATACATATTTATTGCCAGGAATACACAAATGAATGTGATGGAGTTTTGGCGATTAGTGCTCCTCGTAAAGAGACACAAAACGTGAACCCGCTATGCAAGAACACTGGAGACTGAGGTGAAGTGTCAAAAAGACTGGATTTAATAAGTCCACAAAAACCAGGCAGGGGACAAAGCAAACTCTGAACAGAGTGGGGAGAACGTGGAGCAGGGCTGAGAGGTTGGGCTGGACGTGGCAGGCAGGACGGAATGGAATGTGGAGTTTCTGGAACAGGCAAAAAACAGAACAGGATTAGCGTACGAAAAGATCCAACAGGAAGAGTACCAGCAGCACTAACTGTGAGTATACGAAGAACTGGCGAAGTCTGATGATCGAACCGGAGTTTTAAGCAGCAGCAGGTGAGTGGTGGTAATCAGTGATGATGAGAAACAAGAGCGGAGGTGAGCCAGGAAGACAGACAAGCAGAAAGAAGGAGAAGGAGATACTGCAATTCCTCACAATTAGGCCCCGCTGTGCGGGAGTATCATTCGGGAGGGGAGAACCGATCCGATGAAACCCCCCGGGTCTAGTCACCTGAAATGACAGCTGTCTGAGGAGGGAGCAGATTTCAAGGTTCAGGTGCAGAGCACTATGATAGGCTTGTGAGAATAGAGCGAAGTGATTGGTTAAGCTGGGGAGTGACGCCCCCGATCACTTATTGAGAGGAGAGAGAGTAGTAACATGGACAAAGTCAATGAATGAGGAAAGACGGTCTTCCTGGTTGAACTTGCGCTGAGCTTCATGATTATTTCTTTATGATGTTATATTTGTGTTGAGTAGATTTAACATTTTATTTATTGAAGATATAAACTGTATTTCCATGTTTAGATCCTTTGCTGTGTTTATTTTTATTATATAGATAAACTTGAATTAATCTGATGTTTACCATTAAAAAATAATATATGTTAGTAATAATAATTATACAGCACACTTTAAAAACGTCATCTCAAGGTGCTTCACGATGCTATGAGGAGAACATAAAAAGATAAATATAAAGTTATCCAAGGAGCATATTGAATAAGATGTAATATAAAAAAGGAGCAGGAAAGGTTCCATTTTTTAATTCTCTGCTGTTTCACTGACTTGCTGCACTTCCCCTACCTGTCCACCAGGGGTAGAGAAGGCTCTTCTCCATGCGTTTGATGGGAAGCCGTCGGTGGCCATGGAGGGGGTGAAAGCTGGGTATTTCTTCTCCATCCCCCCCTCTATCATCCGCAGTGAGCAGGTACTCCTCCTCCTCTTCACACAGTTATTATTTGTCTTCTTTACTTGCTTGTAACACGCTTTGAACACCAGGAAAAGTGCTATATAAATGTAATGTATTATTATTATTTACCTTCATCACTTTAAATGATTAATGATAAGTGATTAATTAACCTGGTAGACCCCCAGAGCACCTGAGATACCCCTGATGTGCAATCACACTGTCTGTCAATGTTAACTCTCCCTGGTCCCCGGCTTGAGCTTCAACATCAGGATCCAGGTCCATTTCCATTTCAATTTCAAACCTTTATTTATCCAGGTGAATCCCATTGAGACCATTGATCTCTTTTTCAAGGGAGACCTGCTCAAGTAGTTCCACATGAAACATAAAAACATAAACGTAACAACAAAAGGACATCATACAGCATCATTACACAATTTACAATAACTATCCACATGAGCAGGTTCCAACAGCTTCAGATGTATCTGTGAAAGGAGTCATCACATACAGAGCATCAACTAGTTCCTGAACAGTGTCCTTCACATGCTGATATCAAGAGAGGGAGTTACACAGTCACAAGATGGAGCTACGTAATCATCCTGTGATGTAGAAAATACTGATTTTTTATCAAAATTCTTCTCAAAATTCTGACTTTTTCTCATAATCTCAAAATGTTGTATTTTTTCTAAAAATCTCAAAAATTCGCCTGTTTTTCAAAATCTCTAAATTCTGTATTTTTTCAAAAAAAACTGTATTTTTTCTAAATATCTAAAGATTCTGTACTTTTTCTGAAAATCCCGAGATTCTGACTTTCACTCAAAATGTTGACTTTTCCCTCAAAATTCTGACTTTTTCTAAAAATTCTGAATTTTTTATCAAAATCTAAAAATTCTGTATTTTTTCTAAAAATTAAAAAATTCTGTATTTTTTCTAAAAATCTAATCCCTGGTCTCCGGCTTGAGCTTCAACCTCAGGATCCATGTATCTGTGATCCTCTCCAGAATGGAAGGAGTCATCACATACAGAGACTAGTTCCTGAACAGTGTCCTTCACATGCTGACATCCAAGAGAGGGAGTTACACAGTCACAAGATGGAGGAGTAGAAAGCAGTATTCAATGTTTACTTCAGATTAGCTCCACGTCAGAAATGAGCATGCTTGATGTCTCTCTCCATAGAGGCTGAATCATCATGTTAATCACATAGCTATCATCTGCCTCAAACAGTCCTGATGCTCTTCTAGGTCATCACACATCCTGTCATGTTCTCAGCTACAGTTGGGATAGCTTTGATAGCATGCTACTCTCATGTTGGAGGAGGACATTCAGTGTTTTCCCAACAGTAAATATACAAATGAAATCAAAATACCCTCCTGCAATGTTAGGGTTATTACCAGGTGTACTGCTATTTTAGTTTTGCACTTATTGTGTTATTAATAACGTGTGCTGTTGTTTCTCTGTTGTATTTCCCACTGAGAAGCAGAAGCTGGTGAAACAGCTGCCGTTAGAAAACATCTGTCTGGAGACGGATTCTCCCGCTCTGGGCCCGGAAAAACAGGTAAGATATTTATCTACATTTCAGTCAAATAAACCCAAAAACGAGATATTAAAATATGCATATATGCAACGTTTGCTCTGATGAGGTGAGACCTGAGGCTTCAGAGGAAACAGAATGCGTTCTCCCTGGATGCTCCATTTAAGAATTAAGGTTAATAATAAAGTATTTAAATTAACTCAAGAAGTTAAAAATCAAAACCAAACCAAGTATAACAAAAAATGAAAGAATAAGCATATTTATACAAACAACGTATGTTAAAGTAAACATTTATAAATACATTAAATACAAGTATTTATCTAAGAATAAGAAGTTAAAGTAAGACGACAAATGTAAAAAGTAGTAAAGACATTTATTAATGTGGCGGAGGGGATGAAGTCGATAGGGACTCGGCTTGGCAACTGGAAGGTCACCAGTTCAAGTCCCGGCAAGACCAAGTGCTACCGAGGTGTCCCTGAGCAAGGCACCGTTCCCCACACCGCCGTTCAAAATGACAGCCCGCTGCTCCTAACACTAGGATGGGTCAAATGCACAGAAACAATTTCCCCACGAGGATTAATAAAAGTCCATCTTAAAACATGCTTGAACCCTGACAACGAAAAGATAAATGCGTCTTTGAGCATTGAGCACACACAAAGACACACACACACCCATACACACAGACAGACACACACATATGCACACACACAAATACACACATACACGCACATATACATACGCACACACACACACACATACATACACATACCCACACCCGCACACACAGACAGACAGACAAATATGCACACACACAAAATACACACACACACACACACACACACACACACACACATACATACACACACAGACATACAATAAACACACATGCTCACAAACATGGGCGTAGGAAGCATCCTCAATGTGGGTGGGACAATTTGACGCGGGGTGTGGGCAGGTGGTGGAGGGAGGCGTGTGGTGCAGTGGGTTGTGCGTTGGTGTTCGGGTCAGGGGGGCACAGGTTCAAACCCCACTGCAGTCAGCGTGTCGTTGTGTCCCTGAACACACCTCACCCCAAAGTGCTCTTGTGGGGATTGCCCACAGTGTTGAGTATGTGAGTCGCTTTGGATAAAAGCGTCTAACAAGTAACATGTGATGTCATGTAATATTTGTTTAAATGTTGAAGTTAAAAGCATCAATCTGGTGCACATTGAGAGCAAAGTTAGGGACGAGATCTATGGATACATCTCTCAACACCCATATGAAACAGAACTGTTTAAGACAGACTTACTTTTTTTGAATGCATATTTTACAAATCACTCCCCTTTTAAACTGTATTTTAGTTTTACTGTCCTATAGTCTGAGCTGGAATTATTTCATACCTGTTATTCTCTTATTTTGTATAATGATCATATAAAAGGTGTGCCTTGGAAATACTTGTTTACTTGAGATAACTTAGACTAAAGTCTCTCGTTCTCTCTCTCTCTCTCTCTCTCTCTCTCGCTCGCTCACACAAAATGCGCTCGTCGTGCCACACACACAGCCGAGCTACGACACACAAAGACCCAGAATAACTTAATGCTGTATCCTATTCTTTTCGATGGCTTTATTGTATGATATGACAGATGAACAGATCGCCACTGGGCTCACAACTAAAGACAGCATGTGTACGGCTCTGAGAATCTGCCTTGGTACAAAGCAGCAGGGAAAACATGGGACGGAGTTTCATTGATTTGGGCATTCTCTCAATAAGCAAGTGGAATGGATTTGATAGTGAAGCACCGACACAGCGCTCTACAGAGAGCGGAGAGTGGATAGACCGATTCACGGACTTTCCACATGGTTAAAGTGGGGGGGTCTAAACTAATCATTTTAAAAGGTGTGGGGGACTTGTCCCACCCTCATATAATGGCTGCTACGCCCATGCTCACAAACACACACATACAGACAGACACACACCAACACACACACACACACACACACACACACATACATACATACAATAGACACACATATACACATGCTCACAAACACACACACACACACACACACACACACACACATACTCACACACACATGCTCACACACACACACACATTAGTAGTTATACACATACCACTTCAATCTCATTAGTATGCATAGAAAGTGACAGGTCACACCTCTCCCTACTTATTAAGCACCGCCCACTTCCGGCTAAACCCCGCCCACTTCCCACCGGAAGTCCCGCCCCTCCATAAGCCCGCCCCTCCGTCCGCCGAAGTCCCGCCCCCCTTCCGTTTTTTCAAAATAAAAATTAAAAAATATTTTAAAAATAAAAATGCTGCCCCTACCGTCACCCCCACTTCCGGGTTTTTCAAAATAAAATTAAAAAAATATTTTTAAAATGGCAGTATTGACTGCAACTTACAAATACTTGCAAATAACATGAAATATACAACCATATATTTTAAAAGTAAATGTTCTCAGCTCTAAAGAGCAAGGTCCCGCCACCTAACCACGGTCCTGTGCCCCTGTATACAGCAGTATTGACTGTAACTTACAAATACTTGCAAATACAAGAAATATACAACCATATATTTGGTAAAGTACTGTCAATCTCACTAACGTCTCTCTCTCTCTCTGCTATTCTCTGCCGTGAAAAGTTTGGTGAAACAGTCTGAAGACAAGCTAGGACACGTCATAAAACCCCCCCCCCCCCGACAATCCTCTGCAGGCAAATGGTAGGGGCGATGGGGAGGGGGGAACATACACACACACACACACACATTTAAATTCAGAGGATGAAAAAGGCAGAAAACATAACTTGTTTTGTAAAAACGGTCAGCACGTCAGTTTCAAGAAAAGACGTTTGCATACATAAAAAGTGTATCTTACAGTTCTTTTGTGAGAGAATTACACACAAATCATGCAGAGTGTCACTAAAAAGTTGTAACACAGGGACTGACATTCTGTATAGGGGTTTTCACACTTGGACACAAAGTCTACTTCATTATCACTTTGTCAGCTTTTATACACAAAAGTGTATCTTTCAGTAACTTTCTCAGAGAATTTAAGCATAAATCTGTCAAAGATTCTTAACGAAATCTACTTC